AATGAAAAATTACACACACACACACACTCATATATATATATATATATATATATATATATATATATATATATATATATATATATATATATAAATATAATAGTAGTAGTAATAATAATAATTGTTTAAAAAAAATAAATAATTAAGCCAATCATATTTAATATTTGGGGGATTTATTGACAAACAGAGTATTCAAATCACATAATAAATTGAAGTGCGAAACTATTTTGCAATGTCCTTGTTTAGCAATCAACAGTTAGCTCTTCAATATTAGTATATACTTAATATTTTATGCCCTAATTTTTATTTGCTCTCACTTATGTCCCGTATTTGGTTTCAACCATACCTATACAATTATTTTATTGACAATTATAATCAATCTTGACTATATTATCTTGCATTTGTAAACTTAGAATTGTCTATTTAAATACACAAATTTAACATTCAATTATCTATGTTGCAAACCGAGCATGAATTCTTGAATACTTCATGTTAGTTTATACATGATTTAGAAGCATGTTATAGAGCATTTCGACATTTCACATGAGTCATATTTCAAAAATGCATAAGGGGCCAACGTGAGTCCAAGAATACTTTCAAAAACCATAAGCATGTGGTATATCATTATTTGATGCATTGAGAAGTAGTAGAATTGTTGCATGCATGAGATTGATGCATGAGAGATATATTTATGTATTATCTATATCGGTGAGGTTTTGGAGGATACCGTTTGGACTATGTTCCTCTCGGGAGATATTTATGGTGTGGTCCCAGTATATGTAACGCGACGTATTCCCACGTTACGAGGTTGGAAACTGCCCGCCAGGCTTGGAATCCTGGTCAGGGGGTGTGCACACTAATAGTTTGATACCTGATTCCACAGAGTTTGAACCACGAGATTGGTTCCGTAGACGGTAGGAGATATTGGGTCGGAATTATGCCGTTCCCGATGGGGTAATTCACACTTCTGTGAAACCCTAAACCGTCTACGAGTATAAGAGAAAAAAAGAGAGTCAATAGAGACTCAAGAAGAGAGTCAACAGAGACTCAAGTATGACAGTCAATAAAGACTCGAGAGAAAGAAAGAGAGTCAAGAGAGACTCGAGAAAGTAACAAAGAAACCTCCATATAGAAAGTACTCTAATTTATATATGAGCGTATGATTATATTGTTGCACGAGATTGCATAAGAGTATTTTTTTTTTTTGAAAATAGATTGCATAAGAGTATGATTACATTGTTGCACTAGATTGCATATGACCATGAGTATATTGTTGCACTAGATTGCATAAGAGTACGATTATATTGTTGCACGAGATTGCATAAGAGTATGATTATACTGTTGCACTAGAGTGCATATGAGTATGAATATATTATTGCACTAGATTGCATAAGAAGCATGATCATAATGTTATACATGATTGTATACGAGTAGAGCATCGTAAAAGATTGTTTAATGAGAAGTTTAACTTGAGATATTCCTTGAGCATGATTATCGTGTTGTAGTAGAAGTTCCACTTATCAAGTTATGTAGTAAGAATGTGAAAATATGTAAATACTTGTGGTATAGTCCTTTAACATGATCCTATTTGTAAGCATGAATTGCTTAATAAGCTATTTGAGAAGTCTATATGTTGATGAATATACGTGATCAGTCTTATACATATATAAGCATGCCAGCTGATATTATAGGGTGCAAGCATTTAGATAGAATGTGATAATTCTTAAGATGATTGAGATTAGCTTATTGCTATAAAGATATCAAATGTTTTCAAAGTATATGCTAGAATGCTTTACAGGGTTGAGTGTGGTTATACTTAGCTTCGAGCTAACGGGTGTTTTTCCTGTTTGTCTATGTGTTGCATGCAAAACCCCTTTCAGGTGGGCCCAACAGTGAGAAGAGATCGAGTTAGATTAGTCTCGTAGTTTGAGATGTCTAAACTCTCGTTTTATTTATGATCATGTTATGGATTTAGACTTATGATATTATGCTTGAGGATTGTTGTAGACTGTGTTGGGGTGACGTTTTTCCCCCTTACTTTTCCAGTATTTATTTCTAGTACCCAGATTTAATCTTATTTGTAGTTTTACCCCTTTTAGCCTGTGCAATCACCAAAGAATAGTGATTGTGGCGGTGACACTCCAACTACTTATCTTCTAGTTTTCCGCTGCATAGTTTATGTTAATGACTGTTTAGAGATGTAATTAAGAGTTAGAAAAGTGGGGTGTTACACTAGCCATACTCTCTCATTTCACTCACCCTTCAACCTAAAACACAAAACCTCTAGCCTCTCTCTAAAAAGGTTTAGCTTCTTCTCCAAGCTAGGATTTGAGCATCCAAGTCTTGCAAGTTTGTCCCCCAAGATTCCTACTTTCTTCATCTTGAGCATATGAGAGGGTATGATCCTTGGTCTTTTGATGTTTTTAACCACCTTTTAGGTGTCTTTTTCTAAAGATAGAATCTTTGTGTCTTTTGGTTTGTGTATGAAGTTGGTGTGGAAGTGAAGCTTTAGGAAAAGCTTTCTAAGGGTGAAAAGAGGAAGTTATTAGGCTACAAAGGTAACCCATGCTTTACAAAAACTATTTTCTTACTTATATGATTATTTCTTGGCTTCTACTTGTGATTCTTGTGTTGATTTCTGAGATTTGATGCATTGTCTTGTGGTGATGCATGTTTAGAGTTTGTTCTTAGGGTTCTTGAATGCCATTGCTTGGCTATTTCTTGGGTTCAAGTCATATTGTTGTTGTGTGTGAGATTTTGGGTGTTTTGGACTTGAACTTGACCTTGGAGATGAAAATCCCCGAAGGGATTTTTGGTGTACAGGGATGTACCCGCGGGTGGAACGGCGGGCAGAGGCCTACCCGCCGCCCCACCCGCGGGGAACAATGGCTTTGTGGGTTGGTACCCGCGGGTGGTTGTCCACCCGTGGCCCCACCCGCAGGGAACACTTTTGGTGGTTGGCGGGGATTTGTTCCCCGTGATTCTTTTACCTTGGTATTGATGTTTTGAGTCTTCTTGATGTTTGTGAGTCTTCTTATTGGGCTATTTGTGAGTCTTCTTGATGTTTCGTATGTCTAGAACGGTATGTTAGGAATCCATGTAGGATTTGGTGTCTTGAATCGTGCTAAGGGTCCAACTTTGTGATTCGTTGGGCTAATTGTGAGTCTTGAATGTTCTTTGGAACTACATTTGGTTTACCCGTTTGATAAGCATGCTAGTTTGATGTTGAACTGCTAGTATGTGTGGTTTGTTCCTTCGTATTGAGATTGCCAACTTGTGTTGACAATCATTTGGTGTTGGATTGGAATCCTTTGTTGTTGAGTATGGTCTCATGTCTTTATTGTGATCGCTTGATTGATTCCTATGATGCGAACTTATGTGACTCGTTGTACCCTTTTGTTAATACTTGATTAAGACTATTGTTGAGTCTTGGTCTTCTTGGTAATGATAATGACCTTGTGTGTGATTATGATTGAGATTGGTAGTTTGTTACTTGAGCTTTGCTCACGAGTTTGGCGGTTTTGTGATATGATATTTAATGGTACCCTCGTGTACTGAGAGATCGGTGGTGAATAGGAGTGTTGGCGTTGGGGGCGACGGTCCCCGAGGCAAAATGTTGGACTCAGAATAAGGTCGGAGGTAGCCATAAGGTTGGAACAGGGCATAAGGTTGGAACTATGATACTTGTGACATGTAGCTGTCACTGTGGCATGTAGTTGCCACTGTGTGAATGTGAATTCCTTACTTATGAGCATGTTTTGATGTATTCTACTTTGTGATCAGTAGAATGCATCCTGAGTTGTATTGTCTTTCATGTTTTTGTTTTGTTGTTGTTGTGAGGATAGAGATTCCTATTTCTTTTAAGAGTGATTTGATGAGTCTTTGAAGTTGACTTCTCTCCTTGGTTTTGAGAGCGCTAGACGTGGATCGCTAGATAGATTAGCTGTCCTGTGTAGACGTTATCTTTTGTTGGCCTGTGAGTCTAGTTTAGCGGCCTGTGAGCCTAGATACTTTATGTTTTGTTGAATTGATAGTTTTCCCGCCTGTGCACCTATGTTTGAGATAGGTGTAGCATAACACGTACCGATTTTATATAGCTTCCGCTTGCTTTATGTCTTGATGATTAGATGTTTTCCTGTGCATTTAAGTTTTAAAAATGTGATAAAATCGGGGGGTGTTACAGTTGGTATCAGAGCCTAGGATGTTAGGATCTGGACTTTAAGAAGTTAAGTGTGGTTCGAGACCATAAGATGACCCTTAAGTACCTAAGTGTTTAGGACTTAGGACTTTTAGGACTCGCGGTGAGCTGTGAGCTGTTTGTTGTTTTCTATGTTTGTTCCGTTGTTTCTGTTTAGTTTTAGCATTCTCGCCGTTAGCGCCGGGTAAGGGTACGTTGTTTGTTTGTGCCTACCGTAACCGTGTTGTTTCTGTAGAAGTATCGCCATAGCTCTGCCTCGTCATCGCGCCTTGACATATGGACCCCAGATGTCAGCATGCACAAGATCAAAACAAGTAGTTGAACTAGAAATACTGGATTGGAAGGGTAATCTCCTTTGTTTAGCAAAGTGACAGTGATCACATACAGTAGGTGTATCATTACAAATTTTGCTGTCTAAAGTATGTAGAAATCTTAATTTTTTTTTTCCAGAGGCATGTCCCAGCCTAGCATGCCAAAAACTACAAGCATTAACATTAGGTTTACAGTGATTAACAATAAGAAACATAAGCTGATAAAGTCCTCTTCTTAGCTCAGCCATCCCAATCATCCTCCCATGGTGTTGATCCTGTATAGTACACTTGTTAGAATTGAACAATATGTTGCAGTTTGATCCTCTTATAAGTTCTCCCAATGATATTAGATTGTACTGGAATATAGGTACACACAACACATTTTGCAAGACTAAATCAGCATATAATTGAAAAGTTCCAATGTGAGATACTTGGGCATGATGTCCATTTGGTAAATCAACTAATATTCCCTAAACTCTCTTGAGAGTTTGTAATCAGTGCACATTGCAAACAATGTGGTGTGTGGCACCACTGTCAAGTATCCATGAGGATCTTGTGTCTGCCAAACTTTTAGAGTCAAAACTCTTACCTTCTAAAGTTGCATCTGGGATGAAATTGGCTGATATAGCATTTACATGAGGAGTGATACCACACAGGTTATTATTGGCCTTTCCTTGCTGCATAAATTCCAAGAACCTCTTATAATCCTCTTGATTAAACAAGGGATTGGAGTCTGAACTACCAACCTCTTGCACAGAAACTTGACTTTGATTAGCTGATCCCACACCCTTGTTTTTTGGCTTCCAACCAGGAGGATAGCCATGTTTCTTGTAACATTTGTCAATGGTATGCCTTGTATAGCCACAATAACTGCAAACTGGTTTCTGTTTCTGGTTTGGGAAGGCTCTTCTGCCATTGTTATCAGACTTTGTGAAGAAAGCACTAGCACTGTCTACACTATTTGCCAAGGAGTTAATGCCAATAGCCATTTGTCTTTCTTGTTGAGAGATCATTGCAAATGCCTCTCCAACATCAGGTAAGGGCTTCATCAACATGATTTGATGTTTAGCACTGCTGAAATTTTCATTCAGACCAATAAGAAATGCAGACAGCATATCACTCTCTAACTGACTTGTAATCTTCTCAACCAACTTGGTTCCACATTCACAATTTGGGAAGCAACCATAGGAAGGAACCGGTCTAAGTATAAACAACTCATCCCACAGTAATTTTTGATAAGTAAAGTATTCATTCGCAGAGAGAGTACCTTGTTTCGTTTGATGGATTTCAGATTGAATCTCACCAATGCGGAATACATCTTGCTGACTGAAATGTTTCTTCAGATCTTTCCAGATCCCTTCAGCTGTGTTGATCCACAATACGCTTCGTCCAATAGTGGGAGAAACTGCCCTGAGGATCCAAGATAACACCATCGTGTTACACTGATCCCAGTAGAAGTACTTAGGCTCCAATATGCTGGGAATCTGCATTGTTCCATCTACAAGAGCCATCTTATTCTTTGAACTGAGAGCCATTTCCATTGCCCTCGCCTAAGCATGGTAGTTCGTCCTCCTTTCAAGCTGTGCAATCACTAGCTGCAATGAGGTACTATCATTAGGTTCAAGATGTAGGGGATCAGATTGGTCCCTAGGTTCATAAGGTGTAGTAGGGTTAGGTGCAGAAGCTGAATTCACATTGGTTTGAGCAATGCCAGGGACTTGAGGCATTGGGTCAGATGAGATCGTTGCGTGAACCATGTTCACTGCAGGGGTACTACGCCAAGCCATAGCTTTCAAAGCTCTGATACCATATCAAGAAGCACAGAGAGCTTCTTGTTTTTTAGAGATGAAACATAAAGGAAAAGAAAAAGATTGGCTTTATTGCTTGAAAGAAAACTCTTCGAACCATTTTACAGTAATACTTTGAACTCTTATATACAGCATCAAGACTAAAGGTAGAAGATAGGGAGCTAGACTAACTAATTCTGTTACATGCAGTTGAGCAGGCAGTTAAGGTGGTAAGGTGGTGCACTTGTTCTCTGGCTTATCTGTGTTGCTGATCTTTGAAGTGTGCATGCTTGGAGTTGACTTTGAGCAGACATATTTTAATACAACTTGTACTCCCTCTCACATGTTTTTGATGTAGACATTTTTCTGTGGACCCACATGATGAAAATAACCAATCATGATTTGCCACCTTAGGGAGTATAAATGAGAGAGTAGAATTTTAGGAGTCTATGTAGTAGAACTCTTAGAAACCTGAAAAATGATTTCTAAAAATCATTTTTCAGATTTCTAGTGTTTGGGAGAAAGTGAACAATTAAAATCAATGAAAAATGATTTTCAATCAAGGAGAAAATAGCTTTATTTTCCTGAAAAACAACTTCCCCTCTTTTTTGCGACCAAAGTTCGGTCAAAACTTAGCTTGTCACACCACCTCCCTTGTTAAATCTAGAGGTTCATGAGGGTTTTCTACCATTGCTGTGTTCGCCAAAGGAAGGGAAGCCTGGCCGTCGCAATTTTACGGCGATATATTGTTGTCGGAGCCGGAAAATGGTGAATGTAATGTTCTGGGAAAATTTCTCGAATCGGAAGTGGGAAAAAAGAGGAAATTTTGGCCTTTTGGGTTTTGGCAATGGTCCCTGGCTAGAAATGTTGAGGGTGAGAATTAAAATGTTGTTAATTGTTAAATCCTTCATTTATGTTCATGTTTTTTAAAAAAATGTTCATGTTTTTAATACTAACTATTTTACACATTGTACTTAGGGGTGACCACGGTTCGGTTCAAATCGTAACCGTTAGTTGCTAACCAGAGCCGAACCGGAACCATTCGTACGGTTCCGGTTTTGGTTCCTAACCGGAACCTTAAGGTTTTCAAAATATTGGAACCGGAACCGTCGGTTCCGGTTCCAAACCATAAAAAAAAAGTTGAAATTTGAAAAGCCAAAGCCGCAAGGCTTTGGCTTTTCAAAAGTCTAAACCAGCAGGCCACTAGCGTTGTGACACCCCGTAATCCAAATTCAATTAAGGGATTAATTAAGTAATTAATCCTAAACTAATTGGTAATTTAATTCCTTAATTCCTCAAAATTCAATAGTCCGGGACTAGTAATTGACTAGTCAACCCCAAGGTCAAAGTTGTACCTTGAGCTTTGTAGGGAGTTCCCTTACACCTCTTCATGTTAGTAAGGGTATTCTTGACTTTTCACCTTGTGTTAGTATTGTATGTTAACCTAGTAGAACACCCTCATTTCTCTCCTTACACTTTCCAAATTCTAGCTCCACCTTCTCTCTAAAAAGGTAGATAGATTTTCTTCCAAGCCAAGTTGAAGCTTTGCCAAAACTTCAAGAGTTGTCTCCAAGATTCTACCTTTCATACATTTGGGCATCTAGGAGGGTAAGATCCATGTTCATCTTGTGTTTTTAGTGTTTCCTTAGGTGTCTTTTCTTAAAGATAGAATCTTTATGATCTTTTGGTGTGTTCTTGAAGTGGGTTTGGAAGGTGAGCTTTGTTAGGAGCTTGGTGAAGTGTTAAGTGAAGGTTTTTGTCTACAAGAGGTAACCCATGCTCTACAAAATCTATTTTGCTTACCTATATGATGATTTCTTGGATTCTACATGTGTTTTGCTATGAAATGTGAGTGTTTATGCATTGTCTTGTGAAAATGCATATCAGCTTGTGTTTAGGGTTCTTGTATGCCATTGCTTGGCTATTCCTTTGATTCAAGTCATTTTATTGTATTTGGTGAGATTTGGCATGTTTTGGACTTGAATTTGAGCTTGGTGTTGAAAATCCCCGAAGGGATTATTTTGGGCACAGGTGTATACCCACGGGCGGAACGGCGGGCAGTGGCCTACCCGCCACCCACCCGCAGGGAACAAGTTGGCCGTGGGTAGTGTACCCGGGGGCGGAACTGCGGGTAGGGGCCTACCCGTGGGTCCACCCACGGGGTACAGTGTATGGTTGTTGGGGGATTTGTTCCCCGTGATTCTTATGACACGGTATTTGATCTTTTGACTTCTTGTTGTTCTTTTGTGGAACTATTTGAGTGTCTTCTTGATGTTTCGTATGTCTAGAACTATATGGTAGGAATCCACGTAGGTTTTGGTGTCTTGAATCGTGCTAAGTGTTCAACATTGTGTTTCGTTGAACCGTGATGAGTCTTGTGTGTTCTTCGGAACTATGTTTGGTTTACCCGTTTGTTAAGCATGCTAGTTCGGTGTTTAAATGCTAGCATGTGTATTGTTTGTACCTTCTTATTGGTTGATGATAACTTGTGTTATTCATCGTTGATGTTGGACTGTGATCCATTCCTTGATTGAGTTTGGTTTTATATCTTCGTTGTGATCCGTTGATTGATTCCTGTTGTGGTGTGATGTGTGTGTGGCTTTACCTGGATTGCACGATTAGTGGTATGGGACACTAGTCACCAAGGTATTGCAGTGGTCCTCGTGGTGGCCATGACGTGATTATGGAGTTGTGACCTTTGTGTAAGGTTCACGTATTTCTTGGGAGGCATGTGTTGCCATGTGTGTGATCGGTACCCTCGTGTACTATGAAATCGGTGGTTCTATTGGAGGGACAGTTTGAGGGGGAACGACGATTCCCGGAGGAATAAGGTTGGACTTGGTGTACAGGGGTCCTGGAGGTAAAGGTTGGAACTAGACATATGATTGGGGGTAGCCATAAGGTTGGAATCGGGCATAAGGAAGGCATATCAACTCGTGATGGGTGATGTCACGAGGGCTTGTGTAGCCGTTGTTGTGAGTTCTCTTCTTGTGACGTGTGTAGTCACAAAGGCATGTGTTGCCATTGGGTGTGTCCTTAATCTCTTGTATCATGCATGTCGGGTGTTAATCTATTGTATGATGATAGATTATGCCTTGAGACTTCTTGTGAGTCGTTGTCGTTCCTTGTAGTCTTGGGATATGATCCCGTGTTCTTGTTGAGAGTGTTGGAGTCTTGTGATGACTATTACTCTTGGTTTTGGACTTATATATATGTATTCCGTCTCGAAAATGGCTTTACAAACCTATATCTTATCTATGTATGATATTTTACATGTATTGGTGGGTTACCAGCATTATTCGCTGACCGAGCGTCGTCCCATGTTTTATATGTTTCTTTCAGGTGATGCTTAGATGAGTGCGCGGTTTAGTGCCGGCTAGTGTAGCTCCTCCCTTATGTTTTGTGGCTTGTGAGCCAATTTAGACTTAGTACTTTTTTATGTTGCTTTTTAGATGTTGAACAATGCAGATGTTAGCCTGTGCGTTCACCTCTGGGTGAGCGTGGCATAGCACCCCGTTTCTTCCAGTTTATATATTTCCTCTTTCAGTCTTCCGCTGTGTTTGATGTTTTGGTTTAGATGTCTGCATGTTTAAGGCTTTAAATAGCATGGAATTTAGGGGGCGTTACAGGCGTAAGCCAGTGGCCTGCTGGCTGCCAATAGCCATGCTATTGGCCTACTGGCCAATAGCATGGCCATTAGCCAAAACTTTAACTTTAGTTTTTTTTTTTTTTTTTTTTTTTGAATTCCGGTTAGAACCGGTGGTTCCAACCGGAATCGCCGGTTCGTGAACCAAAACCGGAACCTTAATATAAGGTTCCGGTTCCGGTTCTAGTTTCACCATTTGCGGAATCGGAACCAGAACCGCGGTCACTCCCAATTGTACTTTTACAGGGCGTTTGGTTGGAGGGGGGAATTACATGGGAAAGGAATTGCAATTCCATGGGAGATGAGTTACTGCGAGTAAAGTGGGAATTTAAATTCCAGTGTTTGGTTTACAGGAATAGAATTACTGGAAATTTCAATTCCAATTTTTGGTATACATAGGAATTCAAAGGGAATAAGTAGTATAAAGTCCAAAATGCTCATTGTTGTTGTGGTATTAATTTTTGATTAAAAAAATAGTGGGGTAATTTTGTCTCATCAATAGCTTTTTTTCTTCCCAAAATCCCTGGAATTAAAATCCCATGGGGGCATGTGATTTAATTCCACGAAAAGGGGGGAATTGCAATTCCTTCCAACCAAACTAAGAAATTTTATAACCTTTGGAATTAGGTGGGAATTAAGTGGAAAGGGAATTTAAATTCCCTCCAACCAAACGCCCTGTTAGAGTTATAATATACAATTTTTTTTACACAAAAATACATTTACCGTTATAACTTCCATTATGAGTTAATTCCAGCAAAGGTCCTCCGACTATCATGAATTTCCACATTTGGTCCTCGTCTTTTAATTTGGACGAATTAAACCCTTGACTATTAAAACTCTTCCACTAAAGGTCCTTCTGTTATTTCAACGTTAATTTGACGTCAAAATTAGGGGTATCCTTGTCTTTTCCTAGCCTATGTGTCTTCATCATCTTCATTTCCCTATTCATTTCGTAGGAATCGTAGCCTGTGTCACTGTGTGTCTTCATCATCTTCATTTCCCTGCTCCTCCTCCATTCTCTCCCATAAATATTCATCCCATATGTGATACCAATACCAAATGATTCAACAATTTCATACCCATTCATCAACATTCAAAATTTTGAATA